GAGGCCAGTCTGCTTGACCTCGAACGAGCGTCGCGGCGGCTTAATAAAGAGTGTGTGGCACAAGAGTCTGGTGTCTTCCGGGAATGTCCAGGAATAATGGACAGCAGACAAGTCGGGTTTGGCGTTGCGATCCCCGTCGGGTTGCAAGAAGGCAGAAGGCGGTTGATCCTGGTTACCTGAAACAAACATCGGCCACTGTTATCCGGTTCGTCCTTGACTTACAACCAACAACGGAGGCCCCGCACGTTGCTGAGAAAGACGTTTGCTAAGTGACTGTCAGGGTTCCGGTGACTGCCCTAATTAAATCATGAGCCTTGGCCCAAAGCTTCCAAAGAATTCAAAAGATTTATTAGGAGCCACAGTTTTGCTCCATTTTACAATGGGTCTTTTCACAGATGTGGAGCGAATCGCGGGAGTTTTGTTAAATTTGGGTCACACGGTTTAGACTTGGAAGGGACCTTGTAGGTCATCTAGTCCAACCCTCCCGCCCCGCCCAAGCAGGAGACACTGCCTACACCAGTGGTGGCTAACCTTTTTGAGCTCCTGTGCCAAAAATTGTGCGCACGCTTGCATGCTCACGCTTGTGTGCCAGCACCCACAAAGCAATGTGAACCTCCCCTGGTCCCCCTTACGCATGCGCGCACAATCCCCACCCTCTTACCTGCACTGTCGCCTCACAGCTGATTTTCGGCCAGTCTGAGGCCTTTTTCAGCCTCCCAAAGGCTTGAGGAAGGCTTCTGCAGGCTTTGTAGGCCGAAAACTAGCCCCGTTTCGTCACTTCTTGTTTTTCTGAAAATACCGGAAGTGACTAAGCGGGCCTATTTTTCGGCCTGCGAAGCCTGCAGAAGCCTTCCTCAAGCCTTTGGGAGGCCGAAAAAAGGCCTCAAACCAGCTGTGAGGCGCGCGCATGCACAGTGAGGTAAATTTGCCGGCACAAATGGCTCTGCGTGCCACCTGGGGCAGAGGTTCGCCATCACGGGCCTACACCATTTCTGACAAAGTGGCTCCCTCCCCATTAACTTGGTTTGTCGGAAGGTTGCAAAAGGGAATCAACACACAACCCAGGGTTACCGCAACCATCATAAATATGAGTCGGTTGCCAAGGGCCTTTGAAAAGGTGTTCCATAATGAGATGGGTAGTTAAGTGAAATATTAAATAATTACAATCAAATCATCTTTTAATGACCCTTGTGGGGTAGAGTCTGGGCAACTGAATGGAGCTAGCGAAGTGTTTACTGGCCGGATGCCCTTCCTGTTGCCAATGCAGAGTTTTATTCAGCAAATATAATTCTCATTGCACCCAGAGAAAGATCTGCCTCTACCCAGAATCAAACTAACAGCCTCCGGATTGTGAGGGGAGAGCTCTACCTCTAGGCCACTGCATCACTCTAAATAATTATAATCAAATAATAAATATAAAACAAAACGTTTGAAATCAAAGTGCTTTCTATCCCAGAGAAAGTTGATAAATATTTGCCGAGGGGGAAGAGACTTTTATCAGGGTTTTTTGTTTTAATTTTTTTCCCAGCATCCAACATCGGACAATTGGATCATTTTTTTTCTTGTTCTCTCTACACAATTTTTGTTATTGTTACTGTTGGATGGATGTTATTTCCGGGTGTTTCTTTTTTTCTATTTTGTATTTTATTCCCCTTGCTAAAATATAACAAACTAGCTCGATCCCCGTGCTTCACTATGAAACTATGTGGTGGGGCTTAGTTTTGGGGGAGGAAAATAAGGGGGGAAAAAATTCTGCCTCTGCCTATCAGCATCCATCGGTTATTCATCTGGCTAGCGTCCTGTCAGTGTGTGAGAGAGTTGAGGGCTGTTTGGAAACTGAAACGGTATTTGCTGTGTGAGCAAGGAGGAGACAGCAAGGAGCCTGGGCGTGGCTTAGCTCAACTGTTCTGTACTAAAGCTGCTTGGTGCTCTGAAACTAAAACTGAAACTCCTCTGCTTCTGTTTTGCATTTGGAAGAGATTTCTTTTCAGGTGGGGAGGGGGAGTCGAACTCCTTAGCATCAGAGCGTGTTAATAATAATAATAATATAGGAAATGCTCGAAATGCTCTGATGGTCATTTTGACAAATCCTTTCTTAGCGAGCACCTAGAAGCCAAGAGGAACAGACGTGCCAAATTTTAAGTTCATAGCCTTTACGGTTCTGGAGATTTTGCGATGATGCGTGAGTGGTATTTCGCTTTTATATAAATAGATTTAGATATATTTCTTTAAAGGGGGGGGAAAAAAAGAAAAAGAAAGCATTTCGATCCAGTGTCGACTTCCAAAATCCACCCGCGACGCTTTTCTATTCCCGCTTTCTCGATTCGGCCGCTCTCCTCCTTACCAGAAGCCACTTCCGAATGGCGCCACCATGTCTTGCGCGGTGGTGATGAACTCGGTGATGTTCAGGCCGAAAATGCCTTTGTCTTCCAAGGCTTCCCTGCTGGTGTTGGCGTTTTCTGCCAGGATGAAAAAAAACAGAAGGGGGGGAGCAAAAGATTTACTCTCCTGGATGAACCAAAAATTCATCTTTCCGGGGCCTGTACCCATTTCACAGAAGGGAACCTCGATCCCAGACACATGAAAAAGCCCAGAAAAAGAAGCCAGGATGGCATCGGTCTCCAAACACAAGCAATATTTCAATACTTATTAAATACAGGTAGTATTTCGACTTAACAGTTCACTTAGGGACGGGTCAAAAGTCACGACGGCGCTGAGAAAAGGGACTGACGGCCATTTTTCGCGCTTATGACTGTTGCAGCCTCCCCGTTGGTCACGTGATCGAAACTCCCACGCTTGGCAACCAGTTCACATTTACAACGGTCGCTATGTCCCAGGATCCTGGGATCACCTTTTGTGACCTTCTGACCAGGGGGAAACCAGATTCACTGTACAACCCCGTTACTAAATGTACAGCTGCCGTGGTTCATTTTTAACAACTGGGGCAAGAAAAGTCTTAAAACGGGACAAAGCTCCCTTCACAAACGTTTCGCTTATGTAACAAGATAAATTTGGGGCTTCATTGTGGTTATAAGTCGAGGACCACCTGTAAAACTAGATAAAGGTCGTTCCTCTACTTACAACCAATCGCTTAGGGCCGCGATGGCAAAGCTATGGCACGTGTGCCACAGGTGGAACAGAGCCATTTCTGCCGGCACGCGAGCTGCAGGAAAACTTACCTCACTGCGCATGTGTGCGCCTCACAGCTGATTTTCGGCCAGTTTGAGGCCTTTTTTGGCCTCCCAAAGGCTTGAAAAAAGCCTCTGCAGGCTTTGCAGGCCGAAAAATACGCCCGTTTAGTCACTTCCAGTATTTTCGGAAAAAACAGGAAGTGATGAAACGGGGCTAGCTTTTGGCCTGCAAAGCTTGCAGAAGCCTGCAGAAGCCTTCCTCAAGCCTTTGGGATGCCAAAAAAGGCCTCAATAATCAGCTGTGAGGCGCAGCGCAGGTAAGGGGGTGGCGGGGGGTGGGTGGAGATTGTGCATGCCCGCGTAGGGGGCGTGCGCATTGCCTTCTAGGCGCTGGGCACATAAGCAGGAGTGTGCAAGCACGCACACCATTTTTGACGCAGGGGTCCAAAATGGTTAGCCACCACTGGCTTAGGGAGGGTTCTCCATTACAGTGGACTTAGGAGGGGCCAACTGGCTTAGTGACCGTTTGAAGTGACCGCTTACAATTGACGTAGCTTAGGACCTGGCCTTTCTGGCAAAGCAAAGTCAAAGCGGGCGAGCCACCTTCGCTTAACAACCCACGGTGAGGTCATGAAATGGGGCGAAACTCCACCAATGTCTTGCTTAGCGATGGACATTTTTGGGCTCGACCGCGGTCGTAAGTCAAGGGCCGCCTCTTTCTGCAAACCGTTCCGGAATGAGGATCGGCGCGCTGGGGAAAAATAACTTTCAGTGTCTTCCTTAGGGGGCCCTCTCCATTTTGTCGGGGCGGACGGAAACGAGGGGGTCATTACCTGTGAGAAAGACACCGAACCTCTTGGTGATGTGTTGAATTTGCAAGTTCAACAGGCAGTTGAAGCGCTCGAATCTCGTGCAGGACCAGGAGTCGCACTTGTGATAGTGCAGGACTTCCGTCATGTTGGCCACCTGGCAGGATTTCAGGACCGATTCCTTGGTGTGCGCGGACAGATCTCCCCTGCGGGAAGAAAGGAGGCCAAGAGGTGATCCCTCGGGCCTGGGCAGGGGGAGAAGAATTCCCCAGTCCGTCTGCAGCGAGTTCAATCCCGCTCATTTTCCCCCACCCTTGAAAAAACAATAGCCATATTGTTCATTGATACATCCATTAAGTGTCCTTTTTTTTAAAAAAAATAAAGTTTTACAGTTTTAAAAACACATATTTACAATTTTTGTAGTGCGTTGCGACATCGGCTTCTCCGTATTCATTTACATACACACACACACACACACACACACTGTATTTTAGCTGCGCTAAAAGCCCCCAATACAGGAAACACAATGTTGCCAGCCAATCAAGACCAAAAAAACCCCGCTACAAAACAGACAGAAGATATTAGAAACACCAATCAAGCAGAACACAGCAAACTCCAAGACCAATAAACACAGACCTAGACTCCCAACCAATCAGGGTGAAGAAAAAACCATTCTGGCACAGCAGTAGGCTAGCCCCAAATTTAAAACAGAAACGGCTGTGAAAGTCTGACTCACAGACGAACACTATACAGAAGCCTGATGACAGATGAGATTCTGCCGAAACGTTGCTACAACTTTAAAAGCACAACTACAATGACGTGGGAAAATACCTGAACAAAGCTGAATGCCATACATGTAAGTACCCGCAAAAACTGAAGAAAACTATATATAGAGAGATCTATGTAGATATAGATATAGATATCAATGATTTTCACGGGTACAGGTATGCAGCTCTTGGCGTGTTCGGGTCTTTTCCTGTGTAAGATTGAAAGCATCTTGGCAACGTTTCAACGAGGTCCCACTCGCCATCTTCAGGCTGATGCTTTCGGCTTCGTGCTTATGTGAGCAAAGCGTGATCGGAGCTGCCGTCTCCCTATATATACTGGTCGGGAGGTTGGCTGTGTTGTCATTTCTTGATTGGTTGATGGAGTTGATGTTTGCAGATTGGCCTGCTTTTTCATAAGAACATGTGTGGCTGAGGTATTGGCTGTGTGTCTATCAGCCTCCTGTGTTGTAACAACTTGGGTAATGGGCTGTGTGATGACCTTCTGAGTACTATTGATTTGACATCCTGGGTCTTGTGCTGTAATCTCCTTACAACACAGGAGGCTGATAGACTCACAGCCAATACCTCAGCCACACATGTTCTTACAAAAAAGTCAGCCAATCTGCAAACATCAACTCCATCAACCAATCAAGAAAGGACAACAGAGCCAACCTCCCCACCAGTATACATAGGGAGACGGCAGCTCCGATCACTTTGCTTGCACAAGCACAAAGCCGAAAGCACCATCCTGAAGATGGCGACACATACATACATAACATACATACATATACATGTACTGTATATACATATATTTTCATATAAGCCCATTGGTATATAAGCAGAACCGTAAATTTGTATTCAAGCCACAAAAAAACATGTCGCCCCCAAATAAGTCAATTTATGGTGCATTTTTGTTGGTTGACTGAATTTTTGAGGATTTGAACGTTGACTTATGCTGCAGATGGGCTTATGCACAAATATATAGATTTGGTACAGTTGGGTGCGAACCAGTGGGAAAGCAGAACTGAGACCAAAGGGAAGGTTCTTAGGGAGGTAGAAATATGGTATATACGGTCTCTTGCTTGAGCCGGGGGTGGGTGGGTGGGTGGGGTTAGACTAGAAGACCTCCAAGGCCCCTTCCAGCAATATTCTGATTGATCTCACTTGGCAGCCTCCTTCAGCTTCTTGGATTCTCGGTAGTGAAGGAGCCACTTCCATCTCCCGTGACTGTTGAGTTTCTCCAGAGTTTTGATGACGTCTTTCAGCTCCCCTAGAGAAAAAAGATCATGGGCCCCCCGTTAGTCCCCTTCCTCTCAGCCTTGGCTACTTTGAGATGGGTGGACTTCCACTCCCAGAATTCCCCAGCCAGAAAGCTTTGAGATGGGTGGACTTCAACTCCCAGAATTCCCCAGCCAGAAGGCTTTGAGATGGGTGGACTTCAACTCCCAGAATTCCCCAGCCAGCAGGCTTTGAGATGGGTGGACTTCCACTCCCAGAATTCCCCAGCCAGCAGGCTTTGAGATGGGTGGACTTCCACTCCCAGAATTCCCCTCCCAGCAGGCTTTGAGATGGGTGGACTTCAACTCCCAGAATTCCCCAGCCAGAAGGCTTTGAGATGGGTGGACTTCAACTCCCAGAATTCCCCAGCCAGCAGGCTTTAAGATGGGTGGACTTC